GCCATAGAGAGACCAGAGAGAAACCAGTAAGACACCAGAGAGAGGCCCGAGAGAGACCGGAGAGAGACCAGAGTGAGACCAGAGAGAGGCCATAGAGAGACCAGAGATAAACTAGAGAGAGACCTGAGAGAGCGGCCAGAGAGAAACTAGAGAGAGACTCTAAATTTGACCAAAATCTATCTGAACACAGGTTTCATATCGGTTATACCTGGCACTCAGAAAGACGTGTGTTTACCACCTTTGCTTTTTTTTTTTTATCCATATTTTCAATTGTAAACATCATATTAGGCCATGGGTCATTTCCAGATCACACATTATTATGCTGTAAGTCTATTATACCATAGGCTTTGACATGGCCATAATTGTTGAGGTTTTGAGGCTTGAACCATAACCAACAATATCACACATCAGATGAAATAAATTCCCAGGAACCACATAAAAAAACAAATTATACAAAATTCATTATTGAGCAACGCAATCAATCATTATAGAAAGTGTAATTTTCTGCGCAATTTCTCACGTCGAACCGTTGGAGGTTGCCTGGATGCGGTCATTTAACTCATCAATCTTGAGCAGATATTGGAACGAAAGATTGTTCTGAAAATGAACCAGAAACAAAGGGACATTTAGTTTCTTCTCTTTGGCTGAGAGGAGGCCGCAAGTGTGAGAGGCTGATGTGACCTGGCACGTTCCCCCCGAGGGTTATAAATGTGCTGCGTCCAGAGAAAAACAACGGTCGAGTTAAGTTGGTTTTTAAAGACTGTTTCTCTGGACTTGATGCACACAGAGATGTCAAAATCTCATTCAAAATATCTATTTATCTGAATAAATGGACTGTACAATCAGGTTTATGTTCAAAATACTAAATGAACAGGTGAACTGTGATTGACTCTGTGTCCAAATATGGTCAACAGGAACATGAGTTTTTAATGAGGACGAGTGAGGACCAATACCAAAGAGATTGACGATCTTATAAGTCAAGGTCAGGTTTATTTATGTAGCACATTTTAAAAACAGACATAACTGAGTTGGAATATTAAGGCAAGACAAGTTTATTTTATATCACAGGCAAGGAAAAAGACACAAATAAATCAGTATTTTTCTGCTAAATAATACTGTTTTAATCTTAATTTAAGAATACTTAATTTTTATTTTTATGCTTGGAATACAATATTTCGTCTTGATTTCAGGGTTTTTAAGGCCTATATAACTGGCAGATAATTTCACTTATTTCAAGTGCTTTTTCACAAAAAATAAGGTGATTTTCAAGCTTTGAGAGGAGTATCGTGATTCTTATCTTTTAGTCGAGATCTTGTGAGCTACATTTTGTGCCCTCCCTTATAAATATAAATAAAAGTATATTTACCAAGGTATCTAGTAAATATGATCCAACTGCGTGTTGTTGCATTGTTGATAATAAAGTTGAATATAATGTAATGTAATCTAATTTTTCTAAAATAATATACTTCATTACAAAATATATTATGCCATAGTAGCACATGTGAAGCTATGAAGCCTTCAGTGAGTTTTCAGTATTTCCTGATTCTTTTAAAATGCGGGTCTTTGTCCAGATAATAAAAAACATTACTAATTTGATTGTGTAAATGGAAAGGAAAAACAATTGAAAGCTCTGTCTCCTTTAACAGAACAAAGAACACAAATGCTGAGTCAGTGAAGACAAAATGATGTACTTTAAAACAAGAAAGCCTGACAGAATAATGCTGAGATCTGTGAAATAGAATAACTACAAATGTCTCCACTTGCTGAAAAGATAAAGACGTATAAATGTTGAGCTCATGGGAGGTTTGAAGCTGATTTGCTTTGGCCTCTGCATTCCACAAAGATGGCGGTCACAGCTCACTGAGGAGCCAAAGTAAAACATCTAGAAAGAGTGCAAGTGCTCCACGCCTCCCCCTCTCATTCCCCCATCCCGGTCCAAATCCAGTCCCTGATGGGACAAATCGCCCCTTAAAACCAAATCAAACCCAAAGATATTGACCAAAACATTTTAAAATAAGTCTAATAAATGTCTCAAATTTGGCCAAATGCTCTTAATTTGAGCACATTTTGATTGTGTGAATCTTAAAACAAGATTCTCCAACAGGGCAAAGCAAAATTATCTTGTTTTTTAAATAAATGTCTCTCACTTGGAATGAGAAAATAAAGCAACAGTTATTGAAAAAAGACTAAATGGCTTCGTCTCATTGGAGAATCATGTTTGAAGACTCAAATTAAGATAAAAACTCTTGATTTAAAGGAGCAGTATGTAAAAATGTGGCCAAAAGTGGTACTGCAGCCTCTCCCACTCTCCCTGACTCAGGTTGCCAGATATGCAGACGAATCCAGCTGGGACCATAACAGCTGAATAGACAAGAGTTTAGTCAACAACAAATCTATAACCAACACCTTTTTCACAAAGATAGAAATCCTGGTTTTATTCCTTGTTTTGTCGTTAATGATTTGAGAATCATAACAAGACTTTTTTTAGTTCAGCGCCACATGGTACTTTACCAGTGAGATTAGTTCCACGCGGTGAGTTCTGGCGCCCGGATCACGGACTTTCCGATTGGTGAAACGGTGGAGGGCGGGACATCGAAGTGAAAACAATAAAAAGATTTACGGGCTGAAACACTCATTTGGAATTTTAAAGAGGTATTGGAAAAGATCATGTTTTATTAATGCCTTTTGACGGATTAGGGCCCTTTAATGATGACTTGAAATGAAAATCTGACATATTGCTACCATTTATTACCTCATATTTTGTCCTTTTGTGCAGTGTGGTAGTATATTTGGGGGTGAGGCTGGACGTTGTGAGGCCTTGATTACACAGATGGTCCATATTGAAGTGTGAAAGCTCATCAGTCTTGGCGTTTGTTTGAGGTCAAAAGGTTTAGAGATAAGAATGACCGAGCAGCTTCCCGATAACTTTAAGACAATATCAGTTCAAGTGTGTGACCTCCATCGCAAAACTAACCACCGACATCTGGACGAGACCCCACAGAGTAAACTCATTATGTACCGCAGCAGAGAACATGTTTTTGAGTCTATTACGATAACTCCGATCAAATCATATCTGAGGCAATGCCAGTTTAACATTGGACAAAGCTTTATCCAAAAAAAGAGAAGACTCCGGAGACATTTGCTCTTTCTAAATCTTAACCATCAGAATAAAGCCTACTGAGACTATTGTTATGGTATTCATTGGTTTGGAAGTCAGTGTTCTGATGCGGCTCGGTATTGGATGTCGGCGCAACAATATTCGATTATAGCTGTGGTAGTATTACAGCGTGAACAAGAACCAAGCCACTAAATGAAGTGATCAAGGGTTTGCTCGATTTTGGGAGAGTGCCTCTTTCCCTCAAATTAGATTATCTATTTTAATCTGACTCTGAGAATTCTGTCTCTTTTTTGTGGACAATAAGTTGGTAACATCAGAATCAGAATCCTCTTATTGCCATGTGAGTAACAGGAAGTAACAAACTAGGAAATTGCTTTGGCTCTAGGTGCAAACAAGTTAAAGCAGAATAAAAACAAGAAGGCATGTATAAAACTCTACATACATTTCTTAAGTTTACTATAAAGACTGAGTTTTAAAGGAGCACCAGACAACAATCATGTTGGAGAATCTTCTTTATTCTTGGGTCCATCAAAAGGTTGATGTTCTGCTTGGAATGTTGTATCTTAAATATGGTTTTAAAATTATCCTGAAGACAAAAAGCGACTTGTTGGTCCCACCACTCTTGCTTGAGTGACTTTTCCTTCCCTGACGACCCTCGGTGATGAAGGCTAACCAGACTTAAGTCTCAGTCGTGGATCAAAAGCCCGTCTATCCGTGTGAGTGGATCCTCTCACTGTGTTTTTTACCTGAGATTTATTTGATATCTTACTATGTTATTCGGTTTTCTTTGACAATACAGGATGATCTAAGGACTGGGGATGATCTGAGGCATTATAAACATCGGTTAGCCTCTTTTTGTACGCAGCAATGATGGGCGGGACAGTGGCTGAGTGGTTAGCACTCTCGCCTCTCGGCAAGAAGGTCCTGCGTTCGAATCCCGGTCAGAACAGGGTCTTTCTGAGTGGACTTTGCATGTTCTCCCCGTGTCTGCGTAGGTTTCCTCTGGGTGCTCCGGTTTTCCCTACCACTAAAAACATGCACAATGGACCTGAATGTAAATGAGAGAGTGAATGAATGGTGTTGGGTCAGAGGCTTTGATGGTCCAGTGTGTTCTGGACTCGCTTCTGTCATCAGCGTGTGTGGAATGATTGGAACAAAATGTCATACTTAATTACTTGTTGTATTTCTTCACTGTGTGCTACTTTTTTGCTGTTTTGGAATCTGCTGTTGGCAAATAAACAACTCTGTCTGCTGTTGTGATTTTGGGTTATACCAAAATGAATTGATTATGACTCAACTTGGCTCAGTTGTGGAGAAAACTCTTTGCGAACTTGTAAAATATTCTGTTATTTCAGTATTATAATCCTCTGAAACTAATACATCCACTGCAAAAGATGACAGAATTAAAGACCAAAAAACGCTAAAATTTGGCTAAATGTATCTAAATTTGAGCACATTTTGACTGCCTTAAAACAAGATTTGCCAGTGGAACAAGAAAAATGGTCTTGTTTTAAAAAGATACAAGATATTTTTCTCTTGGAATGAGAAAATAAAGCAATAGTTCTTGAATCAAGTCAAAATTGCTTGTCTCATTGGCAAATCTCATTTTAAGACAGTCAGAATGAACTTAAGTCAAGTTAAAAAAAAACTCGATTCTAGCAATTATGATCTCATATTTGATCATTTTTTGCAGTGTCTATGAGTTTGCGCGTCTGACCGATGTATTTAGGGATCAATAGAGTATCTATCCACATGTCCAGGTCGTCATGCTAAGCTACATTCCAAACTTAGCGTGTTGTATCTTCCTAGCAACAGACAAGTAGCGGACGACATTGCATAGAGCACTTTTAACATAAATATAATTGTCTTTTCTCCCTTCCAGATTGAGAGCTACATCAAAGAGAGCATGAAGACAGAGATGGTCCAGCTGCAGCAGAGCGCGGTACACAACCACACGGCGGCCATGTTGGAAATGGGCACCAATCTTCTCTCGCAAACAGCGGAACAGACGCGCAAACTCACCGATGTGGAAACACAGGTAAAGGGCCAACGACGGGAAATACTGGGATCATAAACAGAGTCGTTAGCTGCCTTTGTGAGAGGTGAAAGCAGGTCAACTGTCCATTAACACTGCTCTTTCTACTTTAACTGCCGCCATAAAGATTGGTTTGGTCAAATATAATAAGGACTGTAGTAAACATGCACGACTTTAAGGCACTCTAGGGTTTTGAGTCGGGAAATGAAACTGTATACGAGCCTACAATCCTCCAAGTTGCTTCTACGCTTAGTTTTGCTTTTGACTCAAATTGAAAGGGATTTGTCCAAAATTACCAGGTCATAATGAGACTTTTTTTTTTACCATTTGATTATCAACTTTGGGTACCTAAAAATGTCACACAAGACAAGAACAAGAAGTTGATATTGTACTTTTAGAGACAGCAAGCAATGTGTGAGTGTTTGAGTAAAGACCTGCGTACCTACTTTTTTCAACAATTTTCAGAATTTTCCACGGAGGATATGGCAGCTTTGCAAAAACACTAATATTCAATGCAACATCAAACACCCAAATTCTAATTCAATTTGTCGTCTGAGTCGGTAGGACCTTCAAAGTGACCATGCTTCTATCATAGACTAAATGGGAATGAACAATGCTAATGCAGTAGCTCTATGAATAGCATTTTCCTCACTATTAGCTTTGGCTCTTCGACTGGACAATGACAAATAAACTTTTCTCACTCTTTAACCATTTGGCACACTCTGATCTGCTTCTGTCACTAAACAGTGCGAGCGGGAACAGAGCAGCTGATTGGCTCTTTGTTTACTCGGTTGTTGCCATCGCCAAAATATGGCTCGAGAAACCCACTCATAAAATCTGTTGACTCTAATCGACTTCTCCAGCAACAAGGCAAACCTTCTAGGTGATGACAGCACTCGAATAGTTCACTTCTTCCACATGGTTTTTCCAATAATTTAATGTTAAGAAGTGGTGACAGTGGCTCAGTTGGTAGAGCATTGGCCTTTGAGCCTGGAGGTCGTGGGTTCGAGCCCACCATGAGACCTTATCCTCCGACTCCCACTGCTGTCGTTGTGCCCTTGGGCAAGACACTTATCCCCACTTTGCCTGAAGCCCCTGCTGAAAGATCAAGGCTATGTCATAGAGCAGCCATCCTCCTTTGGACTCACCACCTTCAGGAGGGATCAGTGAAGGGCTGGCAGCTCTGGCCACCCCGACCCAGAAATGGATTAAGGGGTAGAAGATGGATGGATGGATAACTGTTAAGAAGCAAAACTGAAAATGACTGAAAATGGAATGGTGACAAATCACTAAATTGTGCGGCCATTTTTCTAAAGACCACTACCCTAAACCTTTATGATCAACCCGCTCCTAGTGCACTTGTATATAGTAGACATTTTAAGAAGTATTATGTAGATTTTTTATTCTATTTTTCCTATAACTTGTTTGCACCAAGAGCCGAAGCAATTTCCTAGTTTTTGACCTCTTGTTACTCACATGGTATTGGTCCATAAGTGGTAGATGACCAATAAGTGTTGATAGATGTTGAGTGTCCTGGGTCATCACCACTGTCCTTTATCTCCAGACCTTTTTGAACTGTGGCCCACCTTTTCTATTAATAACAATCGTATGGCACACCGCTAGCTGAAACTAATATTTTTTTTTGAACATAAACAACTTTGAAGCTTTTATTAACAATGCAAAATCATTCAAATCAAAGTGTATTATATTGAAAATCAAGTTGCAAAAGTCTTTAAATCTTCTTGAATTATTTTGTTTTCACATCATTTTGACCAATTAGATGATATTGGATCATTTCCAAAGGTCCCTCCTGCATCAGCAAGGAAAAACTCTCATCCCAGTGGGAAAAATAATTCAGATTTTGTATTTCCCAGGTCTTGAACCAGACATCAAGACTTGAAATCCAACTGCTGGAAAACTCTCTGTCCACCAACAAACTGGAGAAAGAGCTGATGCTGCAGACCAACGAGATCAGCAAACTCCACGACAAAAACAGGTAAATGAACTTACAATCTCTCACACATCGTCCACTCACAGCAGCCCCTCCATGAGTCAACGGAATCGCTGCAAGATGATACTCTGTCAATTGTTGTGCTGTAAAACTATTGCAAGCTTTGTGGTGCAAACAAAATCAAAAACTTTGCTACCGAGAACCACAGAGCCCTCCACTTTACACCGTATCCATGTCAGAGACTTGGATCGTCTCCGGCCGTTCGCACAAACGCATGAGGCTGGACTTTCCATGTTGCAAAATGAATAGATTAAGCTACATTTTTTGACTTTGCACTGATTTTTGGATACCGTGATTGGTCCGCTGAGAGTGACACTGATGAGGTCATGTTTTAGCGTGGGTTTGGTCTGCTCTCTTTGACCCGTATCCATAGAGACCATTACAAAGACTGAGTCGGAAAGTCTTAACAAAGTGGTGATGGCCTTGATTATAGTTTTGTCAACGTTTATCGAGTTTGAAGAGTGGAATCCCAAAGCATTAAAGCATTAGTTCACTCTCAATTTTGTCGCTCTTAGAATGACCATGTGGGTTGTGTGATATGTTTGAGCTTGTGTCATCTTCCAGAAAAATGGCAGTTAAAATGTTGGGTCAAATCGTTTTTATTGTGAATCAGATGTTAAAAAGAACGTTCATAATGAGTTTTGCTGTTATGGTAATGTTAATGACATGCACAGCTAAATGTAATGCAATCCAGGGGTCCCCAACCTATAGCTCAGGACCACCCCAGTTACTCCCCAAAGCATATCTTTTTCTTTTTTCAAAACAACTGCAACAGCATTTAGCATGAATGAAAAGGAGCAGAAAGAAGTAAAACCTTATATCTGCCCACTATCAACACAAAATCATTTACAGTTCCAGTGCATTTGAGCCTCTAATGCAACTCTGACAATTCAAAACACAAAATTAAAGTTACAGCTGAACCGCAGTGATGTATTTCTGCAACATTGATCATTTTATAGACTTTTTAAACACAAAATTGGACGTAGAAGTTTTGATTTTACAATCCAGACTGTTCCACGGATCCACTCCTTTTTTGATTGAGACACATTTTTCCTTTAAAGACGATTGAAACCTGGGTTTGTTAAAAATCTTGGTTCCTTTAAATTCATATCTGCTTTTTCTCTTGATGAATCTGTTTTGCAAATTCATGGGTAAACTTCCATACATTTTCTCCTGCTTTATACGTTTCTGAGTCGTTGCGGCAAAAGTCTAAAACCAGAAATGGCCAGACTTCCCTGTACACCCACACTTCCTCCACCTCTTATCGGAGAAATAAACAGACCTAATCAATATTTAATTTATTTTTATTCACATGCATTCTATTGTAGTGAATACATTGTAACTTAACTAATAGGAGAGACTGTTTTTTTGGTGATTTACAGTAGACCATAGGCTTTTCAATAACTTTATGAAAGATAAAGCTTTATTCCAAGGGGAAAAGGGTTGAAAACTTTTGTCATCAAGTAATTGGTTTGTTACAAATAATCACAGTTTCATGTTTTCGCAGAATGTTTCTTCAGTTTGTGACAATAAGACTGAACAGAGCGCCCTGAGATCTGCTTCTCTTTGTAGCTCCATAGTTTCTCAATCGTGCTCTTAAGAGTTTTATATGTGCCTCACTGATGCCACGTCCACACGTAACCGAGTATTTTTTTATACCGAATATTTCCCCACCATCCGTTTATAAAATATTATCCATCCTGCGTTTTCAATCACGTTCATAACATTCAAACATGTGCATCTCTGACGTCCTGCATCGGGGAAAAACACAGAAGTGGGCGGAGCTTTGATGCAGACGCCGGTGCTTCTGTAGCGGCCCTTACAGTCATAGTAGAAACTCAGGGTGAAGACATGTTTACAAGCACTGACCCCCGTCCTCAGCACTGGTTTAGTCCTGGTTTAGTCCAGGTTTAGTCCTGGTTTAATTCCTGTTTTTTTTTTTTTTCGAGCGTGAGTCCCCGAGATCACTTTGCTGCTCTCTGATGTGGAGGATGTGAACCGCTCGCAGCAGCGAACAGTTTTTAAGGCAGTAAGATCCATGCCTCAGTGATCAGAGGTCGCACGTGTTGTTTGTTGTTGTTTTGGGGCCAGACTGTGACGTGCGAAAACACAAAACTCTTGTTATCTCTGTCTACACACAAATGCATAGACAACGTTTTCAAAAATGTCCACTTTGCCCGGAGTTTTTTATATAATAGTTTATGATGCGTTATCATGTGGATGACAGGTGCAAACAAAGACAAATATCTGTGGTTTAGCAGAGACCCGGCTACGTGTGGACGGGGCCTGTGTCTTTTCTCGCTATTTTCATTTATTTTGTTTGTGTGTGAGTGTGCTTTGTGGTGTTGGTCCCCGGTGTCTCCTAGTTGAATTCCCATTTAGTGTATTCTGAAAAAAAGCAGGGAGACAGCCCAAAAGTCTTACACACATTCCCCACACGTCAGAAAAAATTAAATCATTCAAATATTTTCTCGAGTAAATGCATCTTCTTTCACTACAGCCATGTCCAGAAACATTAAGCCTCACACATGCTGGAATTCAAATTCAAAACCAGTGTTATTTTAAATACCTAATATTTCTCTACTTTGCTGAGTATGTGTTTGGATGTCCCGTGCTACGCAAGAGGCACCCCCGGTCAAGTCAAACAAATGCAACATACTTAGTCATTTCGATTGGAGCTGTATGTGTTTTCCATCACATTAAACGCAGCCAAAGAAATCCTTTCAAAGACGTTACATCGGCTGTGAAAATACGACATAGAGAAGCCAGGTGTTATAATCTGTAAATCATTCAAATCAAAACGGCATTAAATACTTAGCCGTTCTTTGGAAAACAACTGCGCCACAGGATTTCAAAGGCTCAAGTCATAATTCAGGGTTGTCCTCTTTTCCCCCTGAACTTTGTGGTTATTTTTGGTCTTTCTTCCAGTCTGTTGGAGCAGAAGATGTTGGAGATGGAGGACCGACACCGCGAGGAGCTGGACTCTCTGAAGCAGGAGAAGGGCAGTCTGCAGACGCTGGTGGGCAGACAGAGCGGTGTGATCCGAGAGCTCGAGACTCAGCTCAGCAAAGCCACCGGCAACAGCAGCGCCCTCCAGAGGCAGCAGCAGGAAATGATGGACACCGTGCACAACCTGATCAACCTCTGCTCCAAGGACGGGGGTGAGTCCAGAGAATTCAGTTAATTCAATTCAATTTATTTTCGTATAGCTATAAATCACAACAGTGGTTATTTTGGAGGACATTTTACAGCTGTCAATTCGCTAACACAGATCAGAAAATCAAACCGTTTAAACACAGGAAATAAAATGATAAAACACACATTACTTTGGTTCAGATGACCACTGTCTATAAGTTTTAATAAATGTCATTGAGAGAGAGAGTCAGTGTCTTATAGAAGTACAATCAAATGAAACCACAACATGCCATCTTTAACTGATACGAAAACGTTAGCATAACATGTTGTAATTTGCATAGCTGTAACAAAGAACCCTGTGAGTCACAATTTTAGCCTTAGGGCTGAGATTGGGAGAAATGGGTTGTTCTCTCTTTTTTGTCTGAAAAGGCTGATCTAAAGATGTGACAGAGGCAAAACAACCATATTGTTTTGTGATCAAGGACTTGTTTCAGTTTCCAGTTTTAAGCGCGACTTTATTTTTCACTCCCAGGTTTAAAGCTGCGGCAACGATCAACTTTGGCTTTACTTTTTTGGGCTCGGTATAATAAAGAATAATAATCAACCATATGAAACAGGCACTGGATGAGAACAGGATGCTAGAGGCTAGAATCCCTACAGTAAACGACAACATGATGCTAACACTTTTGGTTAGCTTGTTTAGCTAATCAAACGTCATCAACTCCTTAAAACAAAAGAGAGAACTGTTGAAGCTCAGATCGGTGACTACTATGAACAGTCACAATAAAAGAGATTGGAAGCCAAAGGCAGTAGGAGCAACGATCGCCAAAAGCCCTTTTTGGCTTCAGCTCGTGAGTTATCTTTGTCCAAAATTATTAGACAGTCCGGATATTTCACATCACTGGGAGATACAGATTTATTTACCAATCCTTCAAACCATACTGAGAGGAACCGGGAGGTAAAGGTCCAGCGTGAGATCACTGACAAAACAAAATGTGTTTCCAATTGTGTCCCATGCAGATCAACTTCCTGATGTTACTAAAGGCGATCTAAGGTGACGGCACCAGATCTAGGAACTATTCTCACTCTTATCGACAAGACAAGGCCTAAATATGGACTTAAAGTTGTTTATAAAATTACCTTGCTTTGCAGTTTGGTATAGCAGCACACAAAATTGCATTGACTCATAATTGTTATTTTTATTTTTATTATTATGCATTGTGCTGTTATGCTGTTAGTATCCCCAGTGTTTCCTCTGGAGGAACCCTCTGCACTGGGAGAAGAGGTCAGCTGTGGCTGGGGTCTGACTTTTGGACCTGGTGAAGATCCGGAACCTCGACTTTCGGGTCTCCACTGAGTCCTGTGTAATCCCCCTGTGGCTGCAGCTGGCTCTCTCCTGGTGCAGACAGCTCCTTGGATGGCGCTTCTTCAGTTACTGGTTATCTATACCATCAGAAGTCAGTCTTGTTTAACTGCCAGCTATGGTTACACATTAATATCCCATGAAAAAAGTGTGTTTGGTTGGAGCCATCACTTAAATCTGGGTCTTTTCACACCCCCGAAAGAAAAAAAAAACTGAATACCAAGTCACCATAAATCAGTCCTTGAAGACCTTTCTCATAATCTGAGCCAAACATCTGAAATAACATTAGACAATAACAGTAAATTATAAAACGGCGGCACGGTGGCTGAGTGGATAGCACTCTCGCCTCTCAGCAAGAAGGTCCTGGGTTCGAATCCCGGTCGGACCAGGGCCTTTCTGAGTGGAGTTTGCATGTTCTCCCCGTGTCTGCGTAGGTTTCCTCCGGGTACTCCGGTTTCCCCTAAAAATCCACTAAAAATATGTCCAATAGTTCTGGCATGTGCCTCCTGTACTGGCCCCGCTCCCATCTCTGTGTGGAGTGAGAGACAAGTGCCCAAAAATGAACAATTGTAAACCGCTTTGAGACTCAGATCTGCAGTGAAAAGGCGGTATATAAATAAAAACTTACTTACTAAATATCATAAATATAAAGAATTGTTATAGACTTTGCAGCTATTGGGCAATCGTACTTGTTTCATCTTGGATTCCATTTGGTTCCCTCTCAATCTCTGCTCCAAAATTCTTGTGATTTTCCTGTTTTCCAATAAATCAGCATGGTGCATTCTTCATGTTGGCAGCCGCTGCGACTACACAGACATAATATGGGAATGCTGCAAAATTATTGGCCGTGGGTTCCCAGAGACCCTCCCCTCTGTTTATGTGGGACTTGGGATTTCCCTTTCAGCCTTGTAGCAGTTTGACCCAGCAGCCATGTAAGATCACAGCCCCAGTCGAAAGGCCTGAACTCATTAGCTCTTTCACAGTTGTTAAAACACCGTGTCCACTTCGCCCCAAGACCCGGCCCCTCTCCGGAGACTTCCCGGGAGTGTTCGGTGTTCGGATCAATTATCAGCTGCTGCATTTGCATTTTGTGGATTTCCTGCTTCAATGTTTAAATATATTTTCCATTTTTGGCAACACCATTTTTCTGCAAAGTAATGTGTGAGGAAGTAAGTTGATATTTGTGTGGGTATAGCAGATGGATACTGTTGTGATTTCACTGGCCGTAAATGGCAGCTTCAGTAATAATAAAAAAATAAATGCTAACTAGGTTTGGATTTGCTCTAAATTATATCTTTTTGGGAGTTGCTCTGTCTTTTTCTTGCCTTTATTTTATCCTCTGTGGATGTTTCAGCTTTGCCTTGATTGAGTCACATATGGTCATAAACTTAACTCCTCCACCAGAAAGGTTTTCACATTAAAACGTCTCATTCGTCATAACACTTTTGCCCATGACTGCATTAGAGCTGGTTTCAAAACTTGTTGATTGATGGAGCTCTAGAGGTAAGGTCACTTGCTAGAACCACGCCTAAACAAGAAAATTCAATAATAAATGTTTATTGATTATGCGCAATGATGTTTGAGAGTGCAAGATAAGTAAGTAAGTAAATAATCTGATAAACCAGAAAGCGCTTTACAATTACTTTTGTACTTCACACAGAGATGGGAGCGGGGTTGCCGCACAGGAGGCACATGCCAGACCTTTATACCTACATATTTTTAGTGGTAGGGGAAACTGAAGCACCCGGAAACCAGAGCACTCTAGACACGGGGAGAACACGCAAACTCCACAGAAAGGCCAGAAAGACCACCGTGCAGCTGATGTCTAGAGGAGAGACTTTTATTTGAGTGTTTGATGCTGGAGTACACCTCGGTGTGAAAACATTCGCACACACACATGTCGCACTTCGCTCATGCTCAGTCCGTACAGCAGCGGTGTGAGCAGCGGCTGCAGTGTGGAGTAGTAAACAGACAGAATCACACGGGCCATGGTCGGGAGCTCGCTCAGATCAAAGCGACTGGACATGAGATCAAAGCAGCAGCCGAAGCAGAAGTTCATCACGGACAGGATGTGCGGCAGACACGTGTTCAGAGCCTTGTTCCTCGTGTGGACAGAGCCGGTATAACACACCATCAGAATCTTTATGTACGACAGAAAGATGGCGGCGAGTGGCAAGATGGCCGACAGTACGATACCAGCTAAACCGTAGATGTTATTGACAGTTGTGTCGGAGCATGCCAGCTTCACGATGGGGTAGAGTCTGCAGTAGAAACTCTCCAGAACGTTCCCACAGAACGTGAGGCGCAGTGCGAGTGTTATGGTGATGGCGCAGCGCACCAATGCATGTGTCCAGATCAGCAGCACCAGGAGCAGCACCTTGGAGGCGCTCATGCGGGCGGCGTACTGTAGGGGGCAGCAGATGGCCAGGTAACGGTCATAGGACATGGCGGCCAACATCCCGAACTCCACGCTGGCGTAGGTGTACTGACAGTAGATCTGCAGGAAGCACGTCGCTACGGAGACGGTGTGAACAGAGCAAAAGATCTGAGTCAGAATAAAAGGAAAGATGGCCGTGCTGCCGTAAAGCTCGTTCACGAAGAGCGCCAAGAGAAGAAGAAACATGGGTCTGTGCAGCGAGCGGTTCCAGGCTATCACACCAGCGAGGAAGGAGTTCAGACTCATGATGAAGACGTACAAGCACAAAACAAACACGAAGCAGAACGGAGACAGCGCCCCCATGTCCACGAAGTCTTTAAGGAGGAAGTACTGCAGCGCGCTGGAGTTCGCCATCACAGACTCCAGACGCAGAGACAAAACGCAGAGAGACCAGACCTTACTTTTCGGTCACACTTCAAACTTTGAACATTGAAACTGGACTAAATTCTCCTTGTGTCTCTCATACTGTTTCACTAAATTGAACAAAAGACATTCATGGTTTTACTTCGTGAGGAGAACACAGATTCACAGATGATAAAGAAAACATCTGAACAATCAAAGAAGCGCTTTCTTAAACAATGTCTTTATATCTGACCCTTTACCTTGCATCCATGTTTTGGCAGCTCAATTGTGCCAAAATGTCTGTCGAAAATCACTAAAGAGGTCCTTAAGAATTGGGCATCTTTGCACTGCATCTTGCCACGACCTGGTTCTTGATTCTGGAAAAACTATTACAACAAATTATGAAGCTTTACTGTAGGTGTCTATCATGTAATCTGAAAGACATCTGAATACATGGGGAGGAAAGAGGAACACATTGGATTTAAAACATTATAACAAAAGTACATGTCTATAACTTTCATTAAAACATCAAACAAATAGAATCTAGTTATTGCAAATGAAAGAAGAACCTTGTGTGCCAATAATTGAATCCACTAACTCTGAAAAGCATCTCAAAGGACTTTTAAGACAAAAACTGTGGCTTTTTTATTATCTGAAAATGATAAAGAAATGTTTCCATATTAATACAATCTAAAATGAATTATAAGTTGTATGAAATAAAACATACAACTTTAACACAAATGATAACAGTCATTATAGTTCAGCTTTGACAAAAATCTTCCCTCTGACGACTGTAATTATTGAATATTGCAAGAGATGACCTCATAATGACATCATGGTAAAAAAAAAAAAAAAACATTTAAACAAGGATCATTTAAAACCAG